TCCTCAAAATCTAGAAGACCAGTAAGCCAGTGTCGACTGCTTCCAGTGATAGTCCCTTGCCGTCCAATGAACAAGGGGTCCTCTGAGAGGAGGATGCGTTCTCTCGAGGCCTCGGCATCAGACACCAAGTTCAATTCAGCTTCCAAGGCCTCTACCCCGGCTGAACATCGTGTTTGTCTCGAGCTACCATAGCAGGCAAGAAACTTAAGGAAGGGTCTCGATAGAGGTAGATCCATCAGATGGTTATCCTGACGGGGAATAACGTGAATACCTTCTTATTTAGTAGACAAAATTGATGCAAAAGTTGACCAGGACTAACCTGCAGAGCTTTGGCCACTGCGATGCCCATAATGTAGAAGCGACGAAGGACATTAAGGGGCACGATATTGCGAGGATAGGGTGTGGGAAAGAGACCGAAGGAAGGATTAATGTAACTGGAGGACGAATTCGACTCCGTCAATGGTTCCACCTGTTCAAAACTGTCGGTCAACCACATCCCCAAAGATTTTCGACGGAATTCCAGAGCCAACAGACTGAAGAACTCCAGTGTGGGCCCTAACCCTGTCCCTTCTTCATCTAAATGGGATGCCAAGTTAAACCACAGGAACTCCTCAGTTGTGGACTATCACACTTGTAACTAACTTGTGAAGCGAATCTCTAACTCTGACTTGGATTCAGCATGCTCATCCATAACACGTTCCGCCCAGGCCCAAAATCCGCAACCGCTTAGATCCACCGATTCATCTCGTGGTATGTCAATGAAATTCCTGAATAGTCGACCAATCTGAAATATTGAAAATTGGCAAATAAAATTCAATCACTCTATATGCATTCAACCACATCCCAAACTCACCGTTTGCAGATGACAGTCGCACCTACCCCTACTGTGTGCAAAACTGTCCACATCCATTACTAACTCATCCGAGGACTCCACCGCTCCGAGGTCACAGTCCGTGTGGTTGAGGTGGGAGGAGATGTTAGCTGCAAAACGAGTGGCCGCTGTGCGCTGCAAATAACTCACCAATCGTCTTTGATCATAAAAATCCTCGTTGATGCTTAGTGAAGGTGCGACATTACTCTGCAGCCACAACAGCGATCTATGGAAAAGTAACAGCATCATCTTGGGTCTTTGGTGGCTCCATTTTTACTGCTGAGAGAGAAAACAGGCCTACCTTGCAGGACCAAAAGCACAGGCTCTAAAGAAATGATGACGGATACTGTAGGGGAAGAGAGCGGTGACACGCTGGGTCAAATTCATACACCAGTCAGGTAAGGTGGGACCTGTAGCAACCGCTAGCACGTCTTGTAGTTGGCGTTTAAGCTTACGCGTGAGGCTGAATGAGATGAAGTCACGCGCGGAAACCAAGGGGTCTGAGCTGGCTGTAGAAAAACGGGTCGACGACGTCCCTACATCTGCAACATCGATGACACCTGTCAACTTGGCCAGAAGCTGAAGGAGATCAAGCAGCTCCTCAGTCCTCTCTTTCGTGCTTCTTTTTATTCTCCCTGGCGAGTGAATACCTAAGCGCTCTAACTGATTCTCTTGTGCACCAATTAGACGCACATCACGCGAAGTCAGTAAAGAGGTTGATTGGCTAGTAGGCTGAAAAAATGACAGGATTAGAATTCCTGGATTTAGTATAAACCGACGGAATTTCTCTGACCAAAAACTAACCTCATCATATTCACTCTCTTCACTCGGATTGCAAAAGCTATACTCCAGAGAAATCTGCACGATCGGTAGGCCGTCGGCAGTTGTCTCCCTATCCATTTGGGAGTAAAGTACCTCCTCAGCCAGTTTCTGAAAGCACATGACAAAAGTATGATATATAGCCTTAAGGTTAGAAAACTTGTAGATAAGGTAAAGTGAGAGCTTACGAGGATGTACTTGAAAATGGGAGCGTTTAGGTCATCGATATGAACCGAGGCTACCACTGAGTCATCCTTTCGGCGAGCGAATAATTCCATACGCAAATCATATTCTTCTGAAGATATATGCGGAAAAAAACGTACATTCAATTTATGAACAACTCTACCGACTACCAATGCATGGTTAAACAGGAAACAATTAACCTCACATGATCAAGGAATAGACAATAAAGGAACGCACTTTCTTTTTGATAGAAAAACTCTGGGCTGAACATGCAATCCGGCGATATCCGAAGATGAAAACTAGATGACGATGGTCTTGCTTGCGGTGCGCTCGGATCGAAGCTGGGAATCAATCCGGGAACCAATGGAAACATCGCGGCGCAGCTTTGAAGATCTAATTGATTCAATTGTCGACCCTCACGTAAAGCACTCATTTGCTTCAGCATGTGCAACTTGGCAGTCGTCTGTAGATGCACACAAGTTAAGTGAAGATATAGCGGTGCTTAGTTAGCCACCAGTAATAATACATAGAGAGGCCTTTACTGACCAAACTGCTACTCGAAGCAGAGACATTAGTTATGCCAAGACCGTTCCTAGGCGGTGAAAAGGCTAACTCAACCGCTTCATCCAACTCTGCCTCCTTATTCTCAAGTTTGTGTTCACTTTGTGCTTCAATCACTCCATGGACTGTGGTCCTGCCAATCTGGAAGAAGACAGATAGTGTAATTTAGAATAAAAATATGACAAGACAAGGAAGTAATCCACTACCGATTTTCCGATTTGGTCCGATGAACCTCTGGTGAGGAATAAACTCTCAGACTCGGGTGCCTCGGTGTGAACGTCGTTGATAATGCAACTTCTGGGTGACTCTCTAGTGCACAGTTTCTTCGGAGGTGGTTGATTTTCCGGCGGCGCAAGAGACTCATTCATATCGTGCAAAATATTCGAAGCAATCAAGGCATCGATAGCTTCCGCAAACTCGAACGCTCTCCTCTCCACGGACGGGTGTGAAGTCTCAGCAGTCTGAAAAAATAAGACAATAAATAGTCACGACTTGCTACCTAAGCTAGTGGCAATAAAATCAGTTTTGATTATCTCAAAATACCCACTTGCGCGCTCGTTGGTGGTGCAAAATGGCCATAAATATCTTCAACTGCTTGGAAGCGAGTATTTTGCCCAACATCTGAGGAGGAGGAAGTCGGATTCGCCGACTGAGCCGCCGCCGATGCTTTAGAGGAATCGGGGTTGGAAGCTGCTACAGATGAACGATTGGAAATTTTCTTCGGATTCCGGAAGTGTACAGGAAACCCGGCCAATTTTTCTTGTGTCAAAAGCTAGGTGATGAATAGCAGGAAGTTTGACGAAAAAACCTAGCTTTTAAGCATGACTTTTTTGGGAGGAGATGAAGGTAATTTGCTTACCGATGGATGAACGAAGTTGACAGTTCCAAAGAGCTCGAATCCCTTGACAATCAAATTGCTTTGTTTAGGTATTGCGGTTAGATCCATTATGCGGAAAATGCGAAAACTTAACACAACTTCACTTTGCCCTGCACCACTCTCTGGTGTCGAAACGGATGCTACATCTAGAGTGGCAAAGGCTTCATTCAATGCTCCGGTAGACAAATGTCTAGTCAGAGTCGTTGTGTTGGTACTACCACTCAGAGGCCCTGACCAAAGCCTGAAATTGCGCTGACTCAATGGTATAGTGACAGGCGTGCCGTTGAGGGGAACGGTGTCCCTATGAACAGAAAGTGTCGTCCAGTGCTTGCCATTATTTGAAGCCTGCAAACCACGAAACACAAAACTTACTTCAAATTCTCGCCTTTACTTTTCAGAAACCTACAGCATTAACCAGCGACCCACCTGGAGACACCAATTTCTTATAGGGAGGCCAGTTTCCTTATTTCGAAGAGTATTCAAGCGGTAAGCAGTAGGTACCAGTTGAAGACCTATTTCAATGGTCAATCTAGCACCGACCTCTTCCCCATTTAAGATGCGACTATCCAAATTGTTCATCCCCTCCTCTTCTGTCACCACCTCTTCCTCTATCTGAGAACCATTCGATATTGTCGCACTGTGTTCGACTGACAAGGATCCGTCACAAATAACGTCTGGAGTGGAAGGGTGAAATACGAGTGCCGTAGCGAGGCCGCATTGGCAGGGGTTAACCCATGTCTCTACTGTTCCTCCGTAGGTGCCCATCCACTCAAAAAGGCCCATGTGCAATTCCACCGCACTGGAAGTTTGAAACGTTGAGGGCAAGGCCTCGGGAGTCAGGCTGATAGCGTGACGAGGCTTCTTCCAAAATTCCCGCAAGAAAGGCATCGATTTACGTGAACACTCATGCCTATAAAATAACAAATGCAATGGACGAAACAACCGTTCTGGGAACGCTGTAACAATATAAAACCAGTTTCATATGGATCAAGTTCAAGAAAGCAACCAGAACTTCGATCACAGAGACGCACCATTCCTTCACCAGGGTGACACCGCGAAGAAAATGCTCAGTCGAGGCGGACATGAAGCAGGAGCGGCCTCTGGGAAAGCCGTGTGATAAAAAAAGCGGTCGACCTTTCCCACTACCAACACGGATCTCTCGAGTTGCACCATGGCGACGTTTGACTATCATTGTAAATGAGTCCTGAACTTGAGGCGTTCCTACAGATCCCGTACACAGCCTCGTGTGGAGGCCAGGAAACCATGCACCCAGGAGCAGAAGCACTTGACGGTCCACAAGTCCACGGACTCCTCCTCCAGTCAAGTGATTATGAAAGTCGGAAGTGGAGGGAAGAGGTGGAGCAATGAGTCCAAGAGGAAGGACTTGTGAATACTCTTCCGTTGACCGACAATAACCAGTGAAATCGAAGCAACTTGAGGAGTTAGGTGGGCAAGAACGTGGTGCTTTTGCCGGCGGCACCTCTATTGTTGCCAGAGTGGAAGGACTTGCAGAAGTCAGAGCTTCCATGCAAGCCGACACCTCATGCTTTAATTGATCTGACGAAGTGGGATACGAAATCTCCTCGAACAGATGGATCGGAAGACGCTCAGTTTGGTCAAGAACATTTAGGAGACAGCGAATGAGGATGGGGAGACCGACGTTGCCCTCGAAGATGCGGAGGAAGGTCTGACGGCGCTGCAGAAGGAATTCTATGTGATAGTGGGAATCATTTGAATTTACCTAGAATAGAAAGACGGTTAATAAGCATACAAAGGGCCAAAACCACTTATAATCGAGCAAAAAATTAAGATCAGGATTTTTCACGCACAACACCACCCCAGCGCACGCATGAGGAAGAGGAAAGACAAAGAAGAAGCGATGGAATGAGACCGCTGGAGGAGAGTTCATATGGTGTGACAGCTTCTTCGCCTGTTGAAAAAATCGCCGCTAGACGCGTGAAACACCCATTGAGATCAACCATTGCCTCTTGCTTTGAGGTTTGATACGGTGCACTGGCAAGTGCTGCAGCGATTTCGCTCAGGGCATTGATAGTATTAGTGCCAGAAATAGATCCATTAAGGTTCTGAGCCCTCGCTGTTATGCGCTCAGGAGGTGCAGATGGGAGAGGTTTTTCGGAGTCCGGAGACGTCGTGGGGACCAGATCATGTGACAATATTCTCGATGCCAGGTAGTGCATTTTAAATCGAATCAACTGCTCCTCTTCTACTGGTGCTGTGGACTTCCTAAGAGAATGAGACAGTAAATACAAAATCAGAGATTACATCACAGTATCTGAAAGAATTGATATTTACTAATAAAACGTATAAAGATCAAGCTTGAATATTCAGGACTTAGCTTTGAGCACACAAGAAAGGGAAACTTACTCTTGGGAACTCTCGGTAAACAAGTCCTTTAAAATTCGCCCACTGCTAGAATTCACTACCCAAAATCGACCGTCCATACTAATAATGATAGGCGCAGAACCTTTAGCCTCAGAAAGTGGGTTGATTATTTTATGGATAATAAAAGCCAAATCGGGGCATGGTCGGAGTTTAAAGAAGCCTTGATGTGGGCGAGCGGAGAAGACGAACGCATCATCGCTTACTCCTTTGGGTCTAACTCGCAAAAGGGGCAACCCACTTTCCGTCTGGACGATGTCCAACAGCAGGTTGCCAGCTCCAACTACATTAGACTCCTTGGACGTCTTCCAATGGTCTGTTCGTATAATCGTATATTCTTCGAATTCCTTGCCAAAGACTTGGAGGTTGCGGCGCGGTGGAGTGGACGAGGCCCGCTGACGATGGCCTGGCTGAGAATCGAGTCTCCTCCTGCTCATCGATCGAGGACGCTTCCTTTCCAAAGTGGGGTCGTCGAGGTAGAAGCGGGGCCAGTGCTGAACACGTTCATTGGCGAGGTAGAAATTGCGGGAATTGATGAAGTGGCGTGTGAGATAAAGTATTTGGTGTCGTAAACTTCCAACTACAAATGAAGATTTCAATATTTTTGTACATACTTAAGAATATTTGTCACCACAAAGTGATACATCTTGGTAAATATGCCTCGGTAATCCCTAGGATAGATGTGTGCATACGTGATATGTAAGTACACACAATTATAAATGATAGTATAATGCAATGCCCTATTTTAAACCAACTGAAGCAAAGCACCGATCGAAAGGAAAAGGAGGAAAGCTGATAATAAGAAATGAGAAATCAACTGACTCGATTTATCTATTAATTCCATTTCCCCACGAAATTCAATGGGAAAGTTGTTCTTCGAACTAGTCAAATAGAGACCACATAAGGTGTTGTCCTCGCGGTTTATATCGAATAGCACAACTGCACTGTCGTTGTAGATGAAGAGGAAATTGCCAAAGATGATTATGTACCACCCCTGCCACTCCTCAGTATACGCGCTGGATAAAGGATAGGGTTCCTAAGAAAAGGACGGCGAAAAAAGAGCCTTATACTGGAGGAAAATCGGTTTTAAGTCAGCGAAACCTTGCATTTAACATCCCGTAAAATACCAGTTACGCAGCAAGTCAATTCAACCCAAAGAGACGAGATGAAACACCCTGCATCATCCACGAATACGCAGTTAAAGGCAGCATTGTGGCAACTAATAACATACCAACGTATACGAAAAGGAAGCTGTGACAGGTCAGCTTAAACAGATGGTGATTTTTTGCGAATGGCATGGGAGTAGTTCATCCAGTTACTACGATATGATGCTCCTCCCAAATCACATCACAGTATAGAAGCGCGAGTAAATGAGCGTTCTGAATTGACAAACAAGCTGACTTTCCGAAAATTTAAGCAACACCCTACGCCACTTATGTATTATCATTCGCCAGTAGCAATATTAGAAGGCACTTAAGTTAGTGTGCGAGAAAGAGAATAAGGGAGCAGAAAACCAGCTTACATCTTCGCTATCATTTTCCGATTCGGTTAAGGTCACCTACAAACAAAACACCCTCAAATGAAGATCATGTTACTTGTGCTACTTTCCTCTCAGTTACGAGACTGCAAATTGACACTACTCTTACCGATGGTGATGGGTTTTTAGGGTCCTGAAAAACATATAATAGTAGCAGTAGAATATTGTTTAAGAGCCTTGGGCAGTTAGTAGACTGCAGCTAGTATCTTTGCGGTTAGAACAGCAGTTAATTGGAGAACTTTAACGTAAAGCTTACAGGCTCGTCGACCCCAGGGTACCCTGGTGTGTGCATAACAGCTGGCTAAAGTAGGCATAGTGGGAATTTTGTAATCACTGCAACACCTAATGGCAAAAGCACATTCTAAAAACATGGGCTCACTGCTTCGTTTTGTTGCTCCTCTTCGGTTTGCCGTTGACTTTCCCCTGCAGCGATATCCGCCGTTTCTGAGAACTCAGAAGCTGTTCCGTCATTGTCACCCCTACTTTCATTGGGAATAAAGTCGACGATGGAATTTGAGGAATGAACAGAGTCCCCTCCCCCTACCTCATTCAAAGTCTCCCTTACGGGGTAGTAGTAACTGCAGTCATCACTTTTACCGATAAAACGAAAGTGTGGTAGTTGCATCACCGAATCAATCGACTTTACCAGGGGTATGATACCGGCTCTGTGCATGAGAGGTAGGTAAATGGAGCGGGCTTTTGTCAGCAATTGGTAACACAGTTGAAATGCACAGTGTACCGTCTTCACAGCCTCCTCCGACAATGCCATAAAAATCATCTGGCTGAGACGGAAACTCAACGAAATTTCAAAGGGATATGTGTTGATAATTTCCAAACTTTGTGAAGAGAGTCGACTGACTATTTGCAACAGTATCAAGACGGTTTGATACCTTAAACAGAAAAAAGCATCATTATTTGAGAGGAATTCAAACAATGCATCACTTTTCAAAAAGGAGATTCTTACTTTACTGATTCCGACTGTGTCTGCGCAAAGACGTCGACTAGCCCAGGGAATATTTCTATAGCGAGAATAAAAAGTTGCTCTTCTACTGATGCATCTTTTCCACTCCGATAAATTGGTAGGAGTTGTAGGTTGCTTCTATGGAGAGAAATCGAGGCGCCCTCCTTTCCCATCGACACATATTCTGAAGGTGGGTGCACCCAGTGGAAGAATGTTAAAACATGCACTACGATACGTCTCTAAATGTTTGACAAATCACTCACCTTCCAAAAGTTTTATAACTTCCCTGCCGCCCAAAGGTTTCACCGCCTTTACTCTGTCAAGCGGACGAAGCCCGTCTTCACCGGTGGCATTGGGGTCTGCACCGTGTCGAAGAAGAATTCGACAAACCTTCTCTCGACCGAAAGCCGCTGCATAGCCCAGAGCACAGGCCAAGTCAAATGTAAGCCCTGCTTCGGGCTGAGAGCATATGGTCTCAACCACCTCTGGGGTGCCACAGACGACAGCCCAGTCGAGCAGGCTTTGACCATGGTTGTCCACGTATCTGAGGTCAAGGCCATCTGACAGGAGCCTCTTCACTAACTCTACAACAGTAAAGGTTGATGATTGGCATTTCCCTTCGTTTAGCAGGAAATACAATAACCAGAAATACTCGCTCAGGGACAAGTACTTTCGTCAATGTTATTGCTTAAATATCGCTAAATCTCACGCGGCATCCACAACCTCGAGTAATAGTCTGGATTTACCACTGCATAATATGACGAGAAGCATGTCGTAATGTGGTGCAGTGCAATCACGATATGGTGAAATCGAATGCATTACCAACAAACCCTCACAAGCACACAAATACAGACCCATATTGCCACTTTTGATGGCCTCCATAGCAGCTCTGAATGAGCAGAAGCTCGTTAAAGTGTAGATGGAATCCTCTTTCTCTGCGTTGTTGGCCTCCTCCAGAGATACTCCATCACCGGGAGCCGACTGCACATCTGGCAAGGTAGTAGGGTTCTTGTGACCCAATTTAAGAATGATCACTTGCAGGAGGCGAAACACGCTCGTTAACATGCCTTCATCCCTGCAATTGCGAAGGAGACTAATTAGGGAGAAGGCCAAATAATTCTCTCGACTCAGAAGGTACCGTGTAGCGTCTGCTGAGCAGCAAAATAGTGTCAACAAAATATTTGTAAGAGAGTTGGCGAGAATGAGGTCTGGTTTCCCTTCCAAAGCAAATGCCTCAGGATCATCTTCGTCTACTAGAAGGAAAAAATGATGCTCGTTTCAACCTAAAACAAACGCCCTGTATGTCAAAAAAACATCAAACTTACACGAGGTGTCTCCGTGTTCCGAAGAATAAGACATCACAAATGCCAAAAATGATGGATAGTAAAACAGGGAGAGACCAGGTGCACGAATATCAGGGAAAATCCCGCATGCCTTATAGAGGTGATGTGAAAGTCTCGTGATAAGTTCGTTCGTTGCGATAGGGGAGAGATCCTGTCCAGAACTCGAGAATCTTTCAAAAATGCACCCCAGTGACTGAAGAGCCATCTTCACAACCACTTCGTAGTTGCTGTGACTAAGGAGATCAGTCAGAGACTCCATCCACTCTTGCATATTCCCATCGCTAGGCTCACAACGGCGGCATAGCTCATGTATGATATTCATGCTTGATTGAACTACATCTGCGTGAACTTCTTCCGAGTGCCATCGAACAAATCGAAGAACACTTGACAGTACTCCACCGAGATAGGCTTTCTCCGAAGTCATGCTTGTTATGAAATCCAGGAGCTAAGAGCAAGACATGCCAACTTTCACATTTATGTTTAACTGACATCCGTCTATGAAGTTAAGCAGTGAGATGAAACCACCATAGTTTTATGTAGATAAAGGTATAAGGACACCGACATTAATACAAATTGCTGTCGAGATAACTCAATCCCTAATAATAACGTTGTAGATTGAACAATTGAGCACACTAACCTTTTTCAAAGGAGTTTTTCAAACATGTTATCTACTACTTCTATACTGCATGTAAATGATCATTTAAATCAAACACAAACGGCTAACGAGGATTTTCGCGTATTAAGTGAAATAAGTATACCTTCACATAAAAACCGTGAATAAATCACATTGAAATGTTAAAAATGATGATAATTGTGCATAAATAACGAAAGGTGAAGGCATCTTAGCAATCGCAACAAACATCAGGCGTAACAGATAAAACAATGAGGAGCACACACTATTTGAGAAGTACCCACCTTGATAATTCGCTGAGCCAATTCACTGCCAGAAGAAGACGAAAAATCGGCTATGTCAAGTCGCGTACATAAGATTTTATAATGCTTGACTCTGATATTTTGTAGAGTCGATACATCAAGCATCTCCAAAAGATAGAGAAGTGTTCTGGCGTTCAGTTCTAACACATCATCCGGGGCATTGTCTTCGGAAAACAAATGCAACAACGCACTGATTACCTCAGTGGTGTCTAATTTGTCGACAAAACTCCTATCGTTGGCAAACAGAAGCACATTGCAAAGATATTCCAAAGACGTTTGTTGCAATTCTTTATCCCCACTTTGAAGCCAACTAATAAGGGAGGGTACATCAACTTCCATCGTCTAAGACGCCACCTACAAAGGCAGAAAAGAAGTAGTCAGCTTGCTGCAACGATCTTGCATTCACTATCGATGTCAAATCAACGCCTGAAGCACGACAGCGTTCTGCCTCACCGGGAGACCCGAAGACTATAGGATGAACCAATGACTGATCTAGTTCCAAATAGTGATTAAGCCGATGTTTTTTGATACAATGTACTAAAACAACAAATTTTAAGTCCCATAAAAAATCAGCTTTAATATCAAGTTTACCGAAATGTTAGCCTAAAAATTCAAGACTAAAAATTAAATAAGAGTAGACGCATCATGGAAAATACCTTTAAAGCTTGTTTTAAGTAAAGCTTGTCTAAGTATCTGAGATGGTTCTACATTCATAGCCTATGGATCAAGCTAACAGTCTCCCATCTTTTTTGTTTTGGATTTCTCTATGCTATCTTTGCCTATTGCAAGCCCAGGGAAGACTTAATACACTACATAAATGCGTCTACCGGTAGGGGGGTATACCCTTTGTGTTCAAATGTTATTTGTGCCCTCAAGTTATCACGTACCTGTTTAAACAGCTATTTTCATACCGAATCCGCTGTCCGGTAGATATTGTTCATTTGTAAAGCTTTTCTAAAGTCGTTAGTGTATTCATTACTTCCATTTATATTTTATAGCTTAGGTACACATTCCTCCTTGAGACATTCTCAAATCCCCCATATTTCCGATGATGTTTGTTTTATAATACGATAGTGGTTTATCCCTCGGTTCTGGTGAGGCGCCACTTTTGTACTTCGAATTAGCCCCCTTGTACCTCGCTGGGTGGGCTGGCCTTTTGGG